GCTGCCTACGACGCGCTGATGAGATCCAAAAAGATCGAAATCGCGATCCGCGTCTGGCAGTTTCGACAGAATACAGACCACTTCGAATTATTTTGTTCGATACATTACAATGTTGAATTTGGAAAAAATATCGAAGCTATATACAAAAGTGATATTATATCGTAACAAAAATATATGTGGCAAATATACGTAGCCACAGCGAATCCCCCGAAGCTCAATCGTAAGCGCCTGGTGTCGTAAATAACTTATAACATCGATCGTGTACTTTTCTCTAAGTGAACGGACTTTCTAGCTATAAGTTCTATTACAAGTCACAGCTCACTGTTCTACATACCATGAGAATGTTTATTTTCCATTTAATGTTTTAATATAGAAACTACAAATTAAAGTGGTTATAACGACCAATAAAATCATATCAAGAGTTAGTTTCGATAACATTTAAGTTTCTTGGAGAAAATTCATGGTAGTTTGATGTAGTAAATAGCAACATTATCTCCAAAACGTTGAGAAATACAAAGGCCAACTTTTCTCGCATTAAAACGAAACAAGTTTTCCCCTTAACAATAAAGCTTAATCCTACGCATAACACACTTTAGGTGTAAAATTTTCGTACAAGCGAATTTTATGCCTTCACCGTGCATGTTGTTAGCAGTGTATTGATGTTTTGTCATATCGGGCCTACGCTTCTAAAGCATCATAAAAGTAACAGATAACACCATACACAGCCTGAGCCCAAGGCATCCACGTGCTATTTTATTTTTTTCATTTCGACAAGGTCGCCATTACAATGGCCTAATAAGAGTGGGGCGCGATGCAAAGGATTTCGATGTCATCTGGAGGATGGACAAGAAGTGACCACAGAAATAAGCCAAAAATCGACCTCAAATTTTGTTTTAAATTAGCTTAGCTTAAATAAAATGGAAGCGCTATTGACAAAACAGTATTGTGTGAAAATTAATTAAAAGTGAAATAAAAATACTGGTATGCAAGGGAAGAAAAAGTAGGGAATGAGCGAATGTAAAGATAGGAGACGCAAAATTAGAAGTGGCTGATTTTAGGTATGTAGGGAGTCAGATAAGTCAGGACGGAAGTAGTAGTATGGATATAAACCAGAGGATAGTGCAGGGTCGAGTCAAAGGGTTCAATAAAAAGAAGTCACTTCTGTGCTAGCGAACGATAAATTTAAAAATTCGAAAAAGATTGTTAAAGGTGTATGCTTGGAGTGCGGCGCTGTACGGCTGCGAAACATGGACGGTGGGCGCGCCGGAAAAGAAAAGGTTAAAAGCGTTCGAAATGTGGTGTTACAGGGAAATGATGAGGATACCGTAGACAGAGAAGGTTAGAAATGAAGAGATATTAGAAAGAATAGGAGTACAGAGGACTCTATGGAAGAAAATAGGCGAGGTTGGTAGGACACCTTCTCAGGCATGAAGGTCTAGTCAGAGACATATTAGAGGTAGAAACGAGAGTTAGGAGGAGTAGAGATAGACCTAGATTAGATTACTGTTCGCAAATAGTTAAAGGTGTGGGCTGTTCTGGTATTGGAGAAATGCGAAGATTAGCTCAGAATAGGAAAGAATGGGGGGCGTGTCCAGGGGAATGATGAAGATACCGTGGATAGATAAGGTTAGAAATGAAGAAGTATTATAAAAAATGGGTGAACAAAGGACTCTATGGAAGTCAATAAAAAATAGGCGGGATAGATTGGTAGGACTTCTTCTCAGGCATAAAAGTCTAGTCAGAGACATATTAGAGGCAGAAATAGGAGTTAAGAGGAGTAGAGGTAGACCTAGATTAGTTAAGGATGTGGGATGTTCGAGTTTTAAGCAAATGCGATGATTAGCTCAGGATAGGAAAGAGTGGAGGTGCGTGTCAATTGCTGCACCAGAAAAAGTTTGAAGTATATTAAAGTCGATCCACTAGTTTCAATGAAATTTTCCTTTTTAAATATTTAAGTATATTTTTTATATGTATAGAGAAGTTTAATTTCCTAGTGCACACCGTCACTTAATTACTAAGATGAATAAATCAACTTTCGTAGTTACCCACTTCAAATCAGAGAAACTTGATAAAACTTATGTCCTTCGACAAATTGCAAGACTTCCAACCGGATTCCTTCCGCAAACAAATAGCAAAATTGGTTTTCGAGAGAGAATTTCATCAGCCAGCGGATTGCTTTAACGTTTCACTCTAATTCCTTATTTGCTCGAAAACGCAAACTTGGCAAGCTTTAGCAATAAAATCCCTTTATCAATCCTTGAAGTCATTCTTATCATCGGAAACCAAATATTTTCTCATTAGGTGATTTTTTGAAGTAAAACTTCTTCTGCTGTTAGCTTTCATTGCCTTTTCACAACAGTACCTAATGTTGGTCAGTTCGCTCATTTAATAATGTCTCTAAAATGGCAAAATGGACTCCCTTAATTGATCTATTCATTTATACAATTGTTAATTATAAAAACGCACTGTTAAGACAGCAGGTAAAAGTTTGTCTGTGTTCTGTCGGAGCTGCCTGCGACGCGCCGATGAGATCCAAAAAGATCGAAATCGCGATCCCTGTCTGGCAGTTTCGACAGAATACAGACCACTTCGAATTATTTTATTTAATTGTTAATTATGTTTATAGACTTTACATTCTTTTTATAAATGTGTTTTAACCGAAGCAATTGTCAAAGATGAAATAAACAATGTGTCCAGTATATTCTTCGTTCAAATTTTTTATTAATAAATCCTCATATAATCCACAGTTTAAGATAAAAACATGATAACGATTATTTCCTGTGTAACCTCACAACAAGAAACAAATTAGTTGAATCGCTTTCGTCGCAAAACAAAGCGCAATATCTACCCCTTTTCCTTAAAAAATAGGGTTCAATTGAAAGACTAACCTGCTACACATTTGTCATTATTCTTTTACTGTTATTTCTCTCTCTCTCTTACTCACCCAAAGTAGATTGGAATTCCTCCCCATTTAATCTCACGCATGAGAGATATATTTCTCCCATTTCATCGCTACTCCTTGATACGGAAGAAAGCACACATTTTTCGGGATCAAAGTAACTATGGACTATACAAGTTATTACAAAGGATGTTTCTTGGACATCCGAAAATACAAGTAGCGGTCGCTTCTCTCAATATACAGAGTCGCCAACTTTATATATTGTAATGTTCGTGGGTTTAACAAATTAACTTTTAAGACTCACAACGACCAAAACTATTTATTTACACTAATTATTATTAAAGGACTTAAAAACACTATTAAATTATTACTAAACTTCGGTAATTATTCTATTTATTTACACTACTGTTACTATTCACTCTTCTATTTATTTCACTTCTGCAACGGTCAATTTATTTCTACTCTACTTCGGCGATCGTCTCTTCCTTTTTATACTCCCTCGCCTCCTTTCGGGAACNATTTAAATTATTACTAAACTTCGGTAATTATTCTATTTATTTACACTACTGTTACTATTCACTCTTCTATTTATTTCACTTCTGCAACGGTCAATTTATTTCTACTCTACTTCGGCGATCGTCTCTTCCTTTTTATACTCCCTCGCCTCCTTTCGGGAACATTCTCTAGCCGTCCAGAGAACGCAGGTACGACACACACGTTTACAGATACGGCGCACATGATGAAAAGCGCCCGCGGCTAGTCGGCGAATCGATAAGCCGCTCACACACACGTATGCCCAATCGCACACAAACACGCTCGTGCTCGCTACAATATAAAAGAAAAAGAAAGTCTATTTTAGTTATTTATTTCAACAGATAAATGCCACCGAATAAAATTTAAATAGGTACAATAAATCAGACTATAACCATATAATAACACATATGTTTATTTATATTAAGTATTATTCAATTCGTAATCGTAATAATCGTAGTTGGCCAGACGTTGGTTCATGGACCAGGTAAACTGATGGTGGCAACCCTGCTACTGCTGTTGATATTGCTACGTTAGGGTTCTCATTTTCTGGCACAGATTCCTGAAGGAAAGAAAACTTTACGTTGAAGAAATAAATGACAACTGTTGTTGAATTTGATTAATAAATCATCAAAAATGTTCCGACTAATTAAGGAAAAAAATATTTGGTTGTTATATTTTTAAGTCATTCGTGGATTTTTATCTAGACGCAATCTAAATTATTGTAAAGAAAGTTCTCATTCACTTGAGTCATCCAAACCAAAAACAGAATTCCAAGTAAATGCTTCAACTTCGTAAGCATATTATCTTGTTGTATTTGTTCTTCAATGTGCAAATAGCGTTCAAGAACTTCTCTTAACCTTAATCTCATTTTCGTATTTGCCTAACTTCACAAAATATGAAGCAAATAATTAACAATTTCTTTTTGGGCAATAATTACCCTAAGCCTAACCATCCTTTCACATGTTTCATGTCAGTTATACTCCCTTAAAAGGACAAACAGTTACAAAAGACTTTATCGCTGTTCTATTTAAAACTATACCTAATCCTGATAAGAACCGTGGAAATATTGAAGTCAGTCCAAAATAGAAAATTTTTGTGCAACATCTTTTATTTATTAACTTAACGTTATTGTAGCAGCCAGTGGCATCTATAATTTAATATACAAATTAAAGCTGTTCAAGTCGTCCACTTGTTTGTTAAATTGCATGAATCCTGTCGTCTCAATTTCAATATAAAGGAACTCAATTTACAGAGAAGCACTTCACATTGATAAGGTAAATAAGATAACTTAAGTAAAAAAGTTTCCAATATTCTTTCGTATCCATAAATAGAGTTTTCATGTCTGTCTCTTCACAAGATCAGGGACAAATTCATCCAGAAATGTCTCAACAGACTTCTGTACATATTTATTTCCTTTGTTCTCTCTGTAACTTCGTCTCGCGTTTGACAATAAACTGTGAGATAACGTAAAACAGATTACGATTACAAATTCAATGAAAAGAACTTAATAAAAATCGAGTTTTTAAACGATTTATAAAATTCCAAGGACTCAGCTGATTCTTATTTATTACTGTCACATGGACGCAGGGGAAAACTTTTAATTTGAAAAATTGGCGGATATGAAAAATATAATATTAGTGTAGATATATGATGATTTACCTAATAGACCAGTTCTATTAAAAATTGCTACCTATAAAGATGTACAAATTTTATAATTTCCATTTCAATAACCAATGGAAGAGCACCTTCATCAGCATTTCTTCTGAAGATAAGGTGAAAATTGTCAGGAATTAAAAACCAAAATGTGTAATTGTGTAGTTTTGACCTTTTCCTAATGAAAATACAGCTCAATCAGAAAAACACAGTTTGTTGGTTGTTAATTGGATATAACTATAGAAACTGATTGACAAAACAAATGGGCAATTTCAAAGTCAAACAACTCATCGATTTCAAATCACATCTAAGATCAAACGATATCAAAACAATCAAAACAATGCTCTCATTGATGTGCAGTTGAATGTAAACAATGGAACCAAGGTGGAAAACCTGGTACTTGAACTCTCAAGGATTGGCCACAATCAATCATAATAGTTAAAGAGTTCAAAGAAAAGAAAAATCCACTTAAGTGAGAATGTAATTGATAATATTATATCATCATTGAGAATAGTCCAAAATTAAGCCACTCCAGTCAACTCACTTACCTACCCAAACTCTCATCAATAACTGGGCTAGAAAATTGGACAATTGGAACAAGTCAGGTAATGACACTTATACCAGCTTTTGAAGGTTGGCGCTCCGTTGTTTATGTTCAATTAATTATTATCAGCGACATGCCAAATAGAGCGTTGTTTGATGTAAGACACGATTAAGAACAATGACCTATTAGATTTTGATCAATTACTCTGTCTATTCTATCGCTTTTCAAGTTAGAACCAGATAGTTCCAACAAACAACTGTCCAAACCAACTTGAATACATTGGGGGGGGGGGCCTAAGGGTGTTTTTATGTGCCACAATTGCAAACTAAATCTAAACTCCGTGAGGGGGGGGGGCGATTACGCCTTGTGGTCAGAAGAAATTTCACGTTTCTAGTCGATTGTTTCAGAGGGGTTAGGATGGTACTTTTTCCTACCACAACCTAATCTATCCTACCCAAAAGATGTCTTAATCAGTACCTATGGATTTAACGATTATCTGTGATTACAGACGTATGTCCATTCTTCTTTCGACTTGGGACTGTCGTCATTTCCTGCGTTTTGAACAGGTCCTTATTAAGTTTAGAAATTCTTCATGAGTAGTACAGACAAAGTGAAAAGAGATAACCGAATAATAGTAAGCAATACAATGGGTAGAGGTTGTTTAGGTACGCAAAAGATCAGGATCGGTTTAAAAAAAAAATTATATATTCAAACAAGCGTTTTGATTGCCTAAATTCCTGAGAATGTTGAACTTTCTTTAAAGTCCTATGCTAGCAACATACTCAAATTCTGCTTGTCTCCATCTCTTTCTGTTACACATCAACTGATATAATGTTATTCATTTTTCTTTGTTAGTGTCCGCTGCAATTCCTGTCTGGCGTCTCATTTCTATTTTTACGATATTCTTTAAGTAGTAAAAAAAGTAGTCGTTCTGTCAACAACCGTTCTAATAAGTTAGTAAGTTGGAAGAAAAGAGTAAATGTGACCGTTTTATTATGGACTATGCGAATTTTAAATGTCCCAATTATACTAGACATTTCGTACGTAATTCGCCTGTTCGTTAAAAAAGGATTCCGCAGCTTCCTGCATATGTAAAATATGTCAGTGTGCCGCCCTCATTTATATTTACTGCTAATTTTGTAGCGGGTATTCCAAACTGTTTTATACATAACATTTATAACAAATTAATAAAAACATTTTGTGAAAATTTGCGAATAGTTATTGTTATTTATATTTCACAATGAATTGAATTTGTAGTTTTAGAATACAGTATGCAGGCATTTGAAAAATATTTTCCAGAGGCATAGTTAATTAGGCTTTGTGCAGTCATGTTTTTGCAACACTTCCAAATTGGTTCTCTAAATTTAATAAAGCAAAACATTAATCGAGTTTAATGCCTGCGTGTGTTATTCCATTCTAGGTCGATCCTACAGAGAATGCAATTGGTCAGCTTGAAAATAAAACAAACGCAACAGTAAAAACGAATGACGCTGTTTCAGACACAGCAGGTGCTTCTCCATAAATTAAAAACGAAACGTTAAGGTTAATTAAACAAAAGTACGGCGCTCCATAAAAGAGAAAAAACGAGCAGTTTGCCCACATGTAACGGACTAATTTCGAGTGGTACTTGCAATATTGTAACGTACAAAAGACTCCTGTGAAAAGTTAGTACAGTTTTATGTTCAGAAATTAAATTTTGCGGCAAACGAATTATCCAGGTACAAAAGAAACTTTAACGTTTTGTAATTGCATGCTGTCTATTTATTTATTCGAAGGGACAGCCTATGAAGCGGTTCATACAAACAATTACGTAGTAAATAAAGCGAAAAAACAACTAATTTTAATAAAAATTTATACTCTCAACATTAACAGTGCCTAAGTTTGTATCTAAATACTTCAATGAAGATGTTTTACTTGGAATACTTTCTAGGATTAACACATGAGAAACATGAGCGAGTTATTTTTCTCTCTACGTTATATTATACCTTCAGCATAGTTGTTTGCAAACAAATTGTTTCTTGAATTAATTAGTTAGTACTTAAATAGGCATTTTTTTACCATGTCCCTAGTGAGATCACGATATTTTTCCCTGATAATCAGTCAATCAATCGAAATTACTTCTTCTTATGAAAAGACTTCACTATCTTCCGCGTAATACCATACGACAGACACTGTGTCGCCATCTAGTTGATATTTCATGGTACTGAAGTATCTATTATAAACTTCAGTAGATTGTTTGTTTCAGTATTCAAAATGGATTATATTTACACTTAAGTAGGTACTCTTTTAATATTTAATTAATAGATATGTTGGTAGATCACCTTCTCTGGCATGAAGATCTAGTTAGAGACATATTAAAAGCAGCAAGGATTTAAAAGGAGTAGAGGTAGACCTAGGTTAGATTATTGTTCGCAAAAAGTTAGGGATGTGAGATGTTCTAGTTTTAGGGAAATGCGAAGATTAGCTCAGATGACAGGAAAGAGTGGAGGTGCTTGTCCAATCAATTTTGGGACTAAGATGATATTTGATCATAATTATGTACATTTATGTGTGTATGAACAGTTCTTTTGTATTTACCTCAGATTCAGTATATCCTGGTGCTTCAGTGGTTGAAGTAGTAGTAGTTGTAGTAGTCGTAGTAATCTTCCTTCTTCTGGTTTTCCTCCTTCGCGGTCTGCTACTTGTCACTTCAATTGCTGGTACCCCATAAGTATCCTGTGGACTTTGATTAGTTTGTGGATTGCTAATATTGTTATCTTTACCATCGTCTAATGACAATCCATTCGTGTTATCGTAATCAATACTTGTACCTCCTTGGGGTGACCGTAAATTTTGTTCAGAAGGTTTTCTTATCAAGGGTTCGTTACTTGCAGTAGTTCTTGAGTCTTGATGTGATCTTTGCTTTGACTTCTGATTGCTGCCTACTTCAAACAAGAATGAAATATAAGATGCAATTGAAAAGTGTTTTGATGTAGATTTATCCATAACTTAAATTATACCACAAAAGTGAACACATTGACTTACAGTTAACTTTTGTTGATTGTAATATTAATAATAGTATTGAACATTAAAAATGTTGTTTCTTTGTAAAAATCAGTTGATGCTGTTTATCTCTAAATTCATGAAATTGCTAACTAGCTAATCTGAAGACTACTGCGTATGTTAAATGCCAAAGCGTATTTAAAATTATTGTTCTTTTGCAATATTTTAACGTCATCCTAGAAATGGTACTTGAAATTTTACAGGTATCTAGGTCACAGTATTGGGATCCGTCAAATGGGCATACACCATCTGGTGGCAAAATTTATAACTCGAATGAGGGAAAAAATTTACATAGGAACTGTGCACGCAAATTGTAAAATTGCTTATTAAAATAATAAAACACGTTAAAAAAGTAAAAAAATTTTTGATGATGGAGTCGACGAAGTTTTCTTCTATAGTTAAATCAAATAAAAAGTTAATATGTTCAGTGAAAAGCTGCAATAGCACTTCAGACATAGATCTTCACTCTTCACCTACATTAACTACTTTCCAATAAAAACTAACCGTTTTATATATGTAAAAA